AGTGACAGATTTGGACATCATCTGCATAGAGATAACATCTCATTCCGAAACTCCGAATGATCTCTCCCAATGCTCTTTTAATTTAAATGAACCATAAATCCCAGCAACTACAACTCCCAAATGACAAAAATCATTTGTAATTTTAGAGGTTTTTTTAATACTGGTAGCCAGATTTTGTTCATTTTCATGGTTTCCTCCTTTCTGTTGACATTGTTCACATGCTTATGGATTTCAATGGCTTCTTTGTGTAGTCTGACATGGTGGTTGTGAGAGTGGTCCAGCATTTCTGTGTTCTCAAATAAAATTACAACAGCACAACAACAGAGAGGAAACAAACAAGGATATATAATCACCTCTCAACAAAAGTTTGCTCTAGGCACTGTCAGGCCATTATATGCTAATCAAGGTGGTCAGTTGAAACATTCACACCTAGCTCCAGCAGACAAGAGTCCTTTGTCTCACCCTGGTCATTCCATAGATATATAAACCCTTTTTCCTAGTTCCAACAGACCTCACTACCTCTGAGGATGCTTGCCATAGATGCAGGTGAAACATCAGGAGAGAATGCCTCTAGACCAGTGTTTCTCAACCTTCCTAATGCCGTGACCCCTTAGTACAGTTCCTTATGTTGTGGTGACCCCCAACCATAACATTATTTTCATTGCTACTTCATAACTGTAATTTTGCTACTGTTATGAATCGTAATGTAAATATCTGATATGCAGTATGTATTTTCAATCACTGGACCAAATTTGGCACAAATACCCAATACGCCCAAATTTGAATACTGGTGGGGTTGGAGGTGATTGATTTTGTCATTTGGTAATGCTGCAGTTGCTGGGATTTATAGTTTAACTAAAATCAAAGAGTCTTCTGAACTCCACCAATGATGGAATTGAATCAAACTTGGCAACCAGAATTCTCATGACCAAGAGAAAATACTGGGAAGGTGTGGTGGACATTGACGTTGAGTTTTTGGAGTTGTAGTTCACCTACATCCAGAGAACACTGTGGACTCAAGGAATGATAGATCTGGATCAAACTTGGCACAAATACTCAATATGCCCAAATGTGAACACTGGCAGAATTTGGAGAAAACAGACCTTGCCATTTGGGAGCTGTAGTTCTTGGGATTTATAGTTCACCCACAATGAAATGGCATTCTGAACCCCACCGATAGAATTGGACCAAACTTTCCACACAGAACCCCCATGACCAACAGAAAATACTATGTTTTCTGATGGTCTTTGGTGACCCCTCTGACACCCCCTCGCGACCCCCACAGGGGTCCCGACCCCCAGGTTGAGAAACACTGCTCTAGACCATGACCATGTAGCCCCAAAAAACCTACAACAACCCAGTGATTCTGGACATGAAAGCCTTCGACAATACACTCAACTCCCAGAAGCCTCACCTGCCCTGGCCAATTCTCTAAGAGGGTTTCATTACTTTTCTGCAACTACAGATACATAATTATAAACTACAGGATCTCGACCTTGGTTTTCACGTAATGTCATTTCCATCCTTTGCAGCCTGTAGCAGCAAGAATGGGCATCTGCTGTGGCTGTTGTTGCAGAGGTGATGATGATGATGGGACAGAATGGCGAGCTCCAGCAAGGGACGGTCCATCTAAACCATCAGCTGCAAATATCCGTCCCCTCCAGGAGCCATGTGTTCGGCAGTGAAGATAGAAGACTGCACGGATGCCATCGACTAGCATGGTATCCTGTGCCATTCCAGCTTGAAAAGGTCATGGTGTTGCTACAGCTTCCCCATAATCCCGTTGTCACCACAGGCAGTCATGAAGACAGGTTTGCAAACTCCTATTTGAGAAGAGACAAACATGCCCGATTACCCTCTTGCCTGTGATCTTGATAGATGTAGATGAAGACTGATGCACGAGTCTAAACATAATGAAGCACAGTTCTTCAAAGAGACATTAAGTCTTTGTTGACTATTATTTTGGAATAGCCCATGAACCATCCAAGGGCAGCAGCGAAAGTGGAGCAAGCTGATCTTGTCCAGCTCTAGCTAGTTATCTTTGCATATCCTCAATTAAAATAAAGCTGTTGCGTGACTATGTTGTCTTTCATCAAGACAAAAGGAAGTTAGAGTAGGGATGAGTACAACACCCTTGGTTCTAGGTCCCCAAAATTCCCCTCTATGCCTAAACAACAACATGTCTGGAAAACAGTTTGAGACCTCCCTAAGACAGCTCCCCTGGTGGCCAGAATACCCTCATGAAAAAGCTGGAATGTTAAATAGCCTCTATGTATGTATCTATATACGTCGTGTGTCTATGGCATTGAATGTTTGCCATGTATGTGTATATGTATATGTGTATATATGTGTGCATGACTATATATATGTATATATTTGTGTGTGCTTGTGTACATGTATATATTAGGCTTGGGCGATCCAGTTCGTTAATTTCGTAATTCGTTATTAATTCGTATTTAAATTAGCTTACGATCCAATATCGAGCCATGCAGGAATAGTGTGAGGAGTAATTAAAAATCAAAACAATTTTTCCAATTTTCGTAATTATTTTCGTAATTATATTTTATAATATACAATTATAATATAATATAT